TTATTAATAATTTAATATATGTTAGATCTCTTTTTTTTTGTATGTTCTCAGATTTCGATAAAAATCAGCAATTTTTGTCTTCTTATTTTACTTTAATTTTTATCCTTGTCTCTCTCTCTTTTTCTTTCGGAAAATTACTTCGATATTATTATATTAATCTAATATTGTTTTAGTTAATTACTCTTATTATCAATTATATTTCCCTTACAAATATATTCTCTATAATTTGTTACCTACGTTTATCTACGCATGCACTCATTTACATGACATTTGACATTATGGTTTGACATTGGATAATCTTCAATGGCGAGGTGTTAACCTTATCTCTCGAGATAGATAATTGCGGTCGAAATTGCCATGGATCTAAAATAAAACATTAGTATTATTTTCCTGTAATTTTTTATATATTTTATTCGAATTAATTAATAACTTTGATATTTAATTCCCTTGATCGATCTTGTATCACACGTTTTAATGTTTTAATTACATAAATATATATTTCTATTTTATCTTAACGATAATATAATCAAATAGATATAAATTATATAAAAACGAGAATAATAATGCATGTTATTAGAATAAATAATTAAAAAGATGGCGTTGGATCGTTTTTCTCGGCCATATTGAAAGTCAGTCATCTTGTTTTATAGAGAAATATGAGAGAGTCGATCGATATTGTATCAAAAGATGTAGGCAAATATTTTAACAATATAAACATATATTTCTTATTTTATCTTAAAAAAAAATAAAGAAACATAATTCTCGTAAAAAACAAAAAAAAAAAAAAAGAACACAAAAGAGAAAATTGATTTTAAATTTTCTTTTAAATGTAAAAAGTGCAAAGTAATGTTATTATTAAAACATTAAACAATTTCACTTCGTAATATTATAATCTAAAGAAAATAGATTAATATAATTTTTTTGTAACCATATTGAAAGCTATCTCTCCTTATATTTTTTTTCTTTTTTTTTTTTTTTTTATATATATATAGAAAAATATGAGGGAAAGCGAACGAGCTTTGAGATCTCGGGTATCGTAGTTGGTTAGGATGTTACAACACAACGATATTCTATACGAACGAACACCAAAGTATGCCACGACCCGTATCGGTTTTCCGTGCGAAGAGAAGCGACACAAAAACTGTCTGGCATCGACAGATAACGATACTTTCTCGCACAGTGAACGAAACGGAAGAGATGACGTTCCAAGTAGTAATATCGTCTTCATAGAATCGCGTCGTCCAGTTTGCATTATGAAACGTACTTGAACTAACTACGTAGGTAGTTTCCACGTTTATAAATGCATTTCTACGATCGGTCCAGTGAAAAACGATGCCGCGACTCTTATTTCAAAGTTAAATAAACAATTGAAGTAAATTTTATTGAGTTATTTCGAAATAAAAAAAAGACAAAAAAAATAAGAGAAAGAAATGTATTATTACTATTATTATTATTATAAAATATCTATTACATATTTGTACGTAAAATAATGCATTAGAGAAAATGACGATATCAATATTATTGCGAGGAACATTGATATTTTTTATTATAAATTTTGTGAAAAATATTTTAAAGAAAATAATTTACATTTATTTGCAATGATCCAATTAATTAAAGGGACATAGTGATTTAATTCTTTTTGTTTTATATATATATTTTTTTTATTCTTATACGAGACATGTCTTGCATAATTTATCGTATTATTGATTTGATATAGCAAGGAATTTCACTATTTAATTAATTTCAATAGAGAATCACTGTTGAGGTATTCCTTTTATGCACATATTTTTATATAGAGAAACAAAGAGAGAGTGAGAGAGAGAGAGAGAGAGAGAGATAAATCAATGTGATTCTAGAAATTTGATTGGATGCATCTCAGGCATTTTTTATTCGCATTTACATCGTAGATCACTAAGGAGATATCGTAAAGAGATGAAGTATTGAGAGTCAATAACTTACTATTAGAAGAAAAAGTTGTAATACGGTATAAACTTTTTTTCTCTTTCTCTTTACCTCTCTCTCTCTCTCTCTCTCTTTCACCTTTTTTTCTCTCTCTTTCTTCCTCATTATACGTGTAATACGATGCGAAACGTGTTTCCACAAGTTTTGTAAAACTTTCGAGTAAGTAATAATTTTATCGTGAAACTTTCCGAAAAGTTTATATTTCGTGAGAGGAAAGGATTAAGGTTGACCTTCGTTCATGGTTGCGTTAATCTCGATTAAGTTCAATATCAAAAATATTAATATAAAATTAAAAAAAAAATATTACAAAAAAAAACATTATTAACTTACATATACATGTGTATAATACATATAGATGTATATAATATATATATATATATATATATATATATATATATATATGTGTATAAAATATGTGTATAATATATATATATACGTATAAAAATTATTTGGAAATCAATGCGAAAGTTAAATTATTCATTAAAATAATTTCATTTCGTCTTAGAAAACTTGAACGAAGGAAAGATACGTATTTTCGATTCATCGATTATCGATAAGAAGAATTTCTCTTTCGCGTCGATGTTATCCGACCTTTCGCTCAGCACTTTCGAACAAATTACATTGGTTAGTTAAGACCTACGATAAGCAGAGAAAGAGAAATCATTAGAAATAATTAGATTATCAGACATATTTCTTCTTTTTTTCTTTTTCTTTTTCTTTTATCGTGATTCACATTGGAAAACTAATTTATCTTGATCGTCAAAACAAATTGTACATATATAATCAAAATTATAAATAAATGTTCATTTATCTAATAATTAACATCATATTATTTAAAATTTTTTATTGTTAATAAAAGAAAATTTTATACTGCAATTAAAATGTAAATAATTTTAATTCAAACGTTTGAAATATTTTCATTTAGAATTAACGCGTATTTTTAAGCGTGTATATCGCGTATATTTAAGATTAAACGCGTATATTTAAATAATTTCATTTTTAATTCGAATAAATTTTTATAAACATCCTATATATGTCAATTTATTTAATATAACGATACATTATTAGCTATGTTATCTAATTTTTATTCACTGTTATCTATCTGTTATTTCTATCAGTTGATTGAAGGACATTTATTTATATGCATAATATATTTGCTAAATCATATATATATATATATATATATATATATATATCTTATTAATATTTTGAATCTTAATTATAAAAAAAATTATAAACAAATAAAAAATATAGTTTATTTTCTTTCTCTCTCTCTCTCTCTCTCTCTCTCTCTTTTTTTTTGTAATTCGAAATAATTTTTCTTCTGCGAAACGATTTGATTAATATAAAAAATCTTACAATTGAATTATATTGATATCATACTTGATATTATAATTGTAAGATAAAATGGGAGATTAAGCGATATCAAAATATTATTCTATAAACTTTTATTGGCTATATATTGTTGTCTATATTTTTTTTTTTCATTACGCTTTCATTTCATTTTATCGTGCGAATCGTTTTCTATCTATGTACATACATATAGAACGAAGATCTTTCAACGAAGTTGAATACGAAGACGGCGTTGAGGGAAATTAAATTTCGCCAAACGACGACGTGAACTCGTTGAAACGAGTTCCGTCTTTTCTGTTATATAGCATGATGGGAAATGGAGGTGTTTCAGCGTTACGACACTCCAAGAGAGTGCCTACACTCTTTTAAGTTTTATTTTTGTCAAGAAGAATGAACGCTTTGGGAAACATTTTCGTTATTGAAGAAGAATGTTACATAAAAATGTAACATTAAAACCTAAGAATTACGATTGTCCTTCTTGTGAAATTTATTACGTTTTTTCTTTTTATATGTATATAAATATATATGTATGTACATACACGAATATGTGTGTATACATATATATAAAATAGTATAATAATTTTTAATGAAAATATAGTATAATATAATAACAATAATAATAAGAAAGTATAGTATAATACAGTATAGTATAATATATAATATAGTATCTTTCTATATAAAATGAAATAAAAATACAGTGTTGTTTATTTTCGATATAAAATATCCAACAATTTTTTTCTGACATTATTTATTGGTCAATTTAATATAATATTTTATAACTTAGAGTTTCTTTAGTTTTATTAATTTTTTTCTTTTTTATTTTTTTTTTCTTTTTCTTATAGTTATCAAACTCGTTCATAAATAGATCGTAATTTATTATACAACAATAAAAATGTTATTAATTAATGTATAATGAAATAGTAATTATTTAACGATAAAATTTATTTCATTGTTTTCACAATTGTTATATTTATTCTTATAAACTTTTTTTTTTTATATTTTCGTAAAAGAATTGTTAACTCGTTACATTACTTGTTATAATACTTGTTACATATACTCGTCAAATTCACATATATTTAATTAGTATATAACTGTCGGGTATACTCCTATCAAGTACTTAAATTCGTATGTATTATTCGAAACCAATTTACTGTTCGAACCTCGAATGGCAGCAACTCGTGGTTGAATATGAATAATAGGTCATCATCCAAGTAAATTGCATACTGAAGTGGAACATCTTGCTTTGGAACAATGATAATGGCATTCGATAAAATTGCTAACGATTGATGCTTCGATTTGATGGACACAAAAATTATTCAAATATAATATAAAATAAAATTTATAGAAAAATTGAGAGAAATCTTAATATTTTCTTTCTTATTCTGAATATATATATATATAATAATTAATATAATTCTAATAATAAATTTTTAATACAAATGAACATATTTTTTTTTTTCATACCATTTGTGATGCATAATATTTACTTGTGATTTACTCGGAAAAAGAAAGAAGAAAAGAAAAAACGAACTAATTGTTCTTCGTTAACGAATATTAAAAGAAAGTAAATTTGATAATAGTACTTTTCCTGACTATCGATTAATTAGATTTTTTATTAATTATGAATAATGAATAATTACATGTATATGTATTTTACTTTTTTGTTTTTTATTTTTTTTTTGCAGATTTTAGGAAGTCAAATGGAATATCATTTCGTTCACAAAGCTCTACCACATGCACGGAGTAAAAGATCCGTACCGCATATGCGACGTTTGAAGGTAGACCCATTGGTGAGTAACGTTTAGCACTTCCTTCAAAGTTCATTAATTAAGTTATTATAAGTTAGTAACGTCGTGAACCTCAATCTATACTTTCAGAGTATAACTTTCCATTTCTATTGAACTAACTAAGTAATTTATCTGTGTTATTAGTTAACGATATTACGTGATAAAAGCCGATGACGTCACAGAATTTTATACAGTGCTTTATTACTTTGAAATTATTATTAGAAATAAAACTTATTTTTTTTCTTTTTTTTTTTTTTAATATATATATATGTATTTTATATATTATATTTAATATGTATATATGTATTACTAAAATTCTATTTGTTTTACTAAAATTTTATTGAATATTTAACAAAATAAATTTTTCATATGACATTTATATTATTCGTATAGATTTTTGTTTACATATATATTTTACAATATTATATTACAAAACAATTGAACTATTCGATATTATACAGTTTATGTGAGATTTAAATTATTATTATTAAATTAAATATAAAATAATTTATTAGATAATATTTTTTTTTTTTTTATTATGTAATTTATAACAATAGAGAAATTCTTTAAAAATTCGATAAAATGTTCTAAGTCCTTTTTTTTATATGATTAAAATGACATCAATTGAATAATTAATACAGTATATAAAAAATTATTATTTTCTTTTTCACACGTACATATATGCATAACAATGTGCCTTAAAATGAATTTCGTTGAATGAGAAATTGAATGCCATTATGGCTCGCATAAGCGTTCTTCTAGATCACAATCCTCTCTTCTGTTTTTTCGTTATACAATACTTTTTTCTCTTCTTTTTCTTTTCTTTCTTTTTTTTTTTTTTCATCGACATGATTGCGTAACGTCGTGCACAGCAGGGTATACGATTTTCGTCGGGGGTGAGGAGCAATAAAACATAAGTGGAGCGCCCTATGGTGAACGTTCTCCGAGTACTTTTTTATACGGGGCGTTGAAAGAAAAACAAAATATCTGACGGAGTTCTTAAAGAGTGTACAATATTGATTGACAACTAGATTTGTCCAAAGTATTTATTAAACAAAATGTTTTAACTAAACTAAATGTTTTAAGTTAATTCGATATAATTATTAGTAATATTTATTTTCTATAAGAATATTAACTTTTTTCTTATTAAATGTCATTAATATTTATTATATAAGTATTTCCAATTTTTTTTTTTTTTAATTTAATATTACTACTATTTATTATTCAAATAATATCACTTTCTTTTCTTTTTTTATTAAACAGAATATATTTATTATTAATAATATCAATGATTTTTTTGTAATTAATCAATATATATATATATATATAATATATATACAACGAAATATATTATCTTATGATTATCCTTTTTTAAATATTTTGTTTATATAAATATATACATATATTTATATATACAATATATATATATATATATATATATATATATATATATACATTATCGAATAAGTTTATTTTATAAGATTATTTGGGAAAAAAAAGTATAATTTAATTAATGTCTCAGTTATTTCGGGACACCCTGTATGTAACCTCTTCAGTGAACTTTTCTGTCGTAGCATCGTGAATAATAAATAGAAGCCGCGATAGCTGTTGCGCTAGAGGCGAAGCCGTTTCACTCTTCCTAGCGATTATGACAAGTGAAACCCTCCTCGAGCACGAGAAAAGATGCGTGCGATAAAATACGATTTTCTAGTCTCCCCTATGAAGCCTGGAGTCAACTACTTACTGAATTTCAATATTTCACGATGCAGGTTCTTTCCAACATCTCACGAATATTCGTACAACGTGATTATGGAATTTTCTCATGGCATGAGATGGCCAATCAATCTCTATGATATATCATACATGGCAATTTTTTTTTTTTTTAATTTTATTTATTCATTTTTAGTTTTCATATATGATATAATCGTCCATAATATGTTTTTTTTGGAGTATTTGAACATTTAGATTTTTATTGGTTCGTTTTTTAGGACGGAAGATGTAACATTGATTATCGTAGCTCAATACGAATTTTGTAAAATGGAACGTTCCTGCGCAGAAGGACGAGAGAGAAATTTCATTTCAACGGACGAACAAATCGATCACAATTATTGTCAGCTCAAATGATTCAAATAGATAGACAGATAGATAGATAGATAGATAGATAGATAGATAGATGAGTAGATAGGTAGATGGTTAGATAAATAGTTAGATAGATAGATAGATAAAGAAGATTATCCCTCCTCATAGTTGTTTTTTAATGTTCATCGTTTTGTTGATGATCTAATGAAATCAATTTGCCGACTTGAACATTTTTATCAAATCATGCTAATAAAAAATCGATTGCCATTTCTAAGGACATTGGAAACATCTCACGTTGCTTTTCACTAATTATTCTTTTACTTTAAGAATTTTATCATGGGATAACATTTTATTTCACTTGTCAAAATTATCAATTAGATTAATTATTCATCGTCATTTTTATCTACTATTTGTTTATATTATTTTAACAACAATTTAGTATATTTGACTATTTATAATTTTTGTTGTTTTTTTTGTTTTCTTTTTTTTTAGCTATTACTTTCTCAAATTGATTTATTTTTTTTAATATTAATAAAATAGTAACTTTGGTATTTGACAATTTTTGTTTTATTATATTACTATCTACAGTTTTCTTTTCTGTATTTCTCTCTTTCTCTCTCTTTCTTTTACAATCGAGATAGAAGTTTTTTTTTTTTTTATTGTTAATAACTAATAATTTTTATTATCTTAACATTTTTCGTTCCATTTAATTATTTAAAATTTTTGCTTAATATTTTTATCAAGTCGTTCTATCTTTTCACTTTTTTATAGATTAAAAAATGCTTTTATCTAATCTACACTTCTTTATCATATATATATATATATTTTTTTAAACAAATATGTCAATTATTGAAATAATAATCTTAATGAAAAAAAAGTTCAACTTCATCTTTCAACTCCCCAGTTATATTATATTACTCGGCAATTATTTAATCGCATCCTTCATAATAAATTTCTCTTCATTCAATATATAAAATTATAGTAAATAATAAGTAGATACTGTATATATCAAATTCCTTTGAAACATCCTGAATAATAAATCTTAACGTATCTTCGTTGTAAAGTAAACTGGTTTCAATGCTTTTAATGTTTTATAGAAAGGAAACTGTGTCATTCTACAATCAGATTTTCGTTATAATATACGATGGTATAATTTTCCAGATTAAAAAAAAAAAAGAAAGAAAAAGAAAAAGAAAAAGAAAAAGAAAAAAAAGAGAATACAAAATATATATATATATATATATATATATATATATATATATATATATATATATATATATGTATGTCAAATGATTCGCAGGTGCATACAGCTGTTCAACAACCTGGATTTAAAAGAGTAAAGCGAGGTTACAACACATTAACCGTGGACAATCTTGCCTCCTTGTACGAGATTAAAAATTTACCAAATTTAGCAAATAGAAATCCAACGGATCCTTACTTCCAATATCAATGGTATTTAAAAAATACTGGACAGAATGGTGGTAAACCTAAATTGGATCTGAACGTTGAAGCTGCCTGGGCACAAGGTGTTACTGGGAAAAACGTGACCACTGCTATTATGGACGACGGTGAGAATGTTAATAAAAAATTAATTTTCATTATTTATTACTTTCATATTTCTTATTATTTCATATTTCATATTTCTCATTAATATTCAAATGTCGAAAAAAATAATTAATTCTCTATATTTTCTTTTCGTATTCATACAAAGTAATCCTATTATTTTTAATTAAAAATTTTTATTTATTATTTATATTGACTTTATATATACATATATATATAATTTATATTATCATTTATGCATATATATATATATATATATATATTTATATGAAATAGTTATAATATATGTATAATATGTACTTATATATACACATACACACATAAATAAAAATTATTTCATTTTAAAAACATTATTATAAACATTTCTGAGATAATTATAAAAGAGAGATTATATAAATAAAATGTATTCGTTGTATTAAAAGTTCCTTTTTGTCTTTCATCTTAAAAAAAAAAAAAAAAAAAGAAGAAAAAAGAAAAGAAGTTACAAAAAATATTAAACGAAAATATCGATATAACGAATGAAATAATCGATTTATTATATAATCTAACAGTTAACTCATTAAAATTCTTATCCTCTTCATTTCATTTAATTTTCGTCGAAGATATTTCAGAGAACGTTGTTGATGGACAGACAGATAAGATAATTGACTTTCCCTCTCGTAGAATGAAATTTATGCCAGTTAATCTATACACACAGGTACTGTAGTGTGCGTAATCCATGATAAAAGCGTTCCCTCTCTCTCTCTCTCTCTTTCTCTCTCTATCTCTCTCTCTCTCTCTCTCTCTCTCTCTCTCTCTCTGTCTCTCTCTCTGTCTCTCTCTCTCTTTCTCTCTCTATCTCTCTCTCTCTCTCTGTCTCTCTCTCTGTCTCTCTCTCTCTTTCTCTCTCTATCTCTCTCTCTTCTAGTAATAGGATTTTGGTAAAGCTCCCACCAAATTACTTTGTTAGCGTCACTAGATCGTTTCATTACGCGACGAAATTATTTTCGAGTCTCTTTATATACGACCTTTCGATACTCACGTATATATGTATCAAAATTGATCGACTTCAATTATATTCATGTGTGTATATATATATGTATATATACACATATACACATGATGTATATATATATATATATATATGTGTTCGTTTTCATAGTACACTTATAATGAGCTTAAATAACTAAGAAATTGAGTCAGAATATTTCACCGATAAGGATCTTAATAAACAATAACTTGTTATGGAAATAAATAATAACAATATAGTATGAAGCATAAAAATGTTTTTTTTTTTAAACATTTTAAAATAATTTTTCAAAAATTCTTTATTATTTGCTTGTCCGTTGAAATAATATACAACATTTGATGAATATTTTTCTTTTTTTTTTTTATAGAAAATCCAATCATTTGTTTACATTATTTATATAAATATATATATATGTACATAAAAATTAATAAAATTAATATTACTATCAAACCTACGATATGCACATACACTTCATATGATCATAATAAATAATAATAACTTTAATCGAAATTTATCGATGATGAAAAAAACAAAATTATTTACAAAATTTTTAATTAATACTGTAAGATAAACAATAATAACAAAATATAGTCTACAAAAATATTTCACTCCCTTTTTCTTTTCTTTTCTTCTTTTTTTTTTTTTTTTTTAAATATTTTCTTGGAACTTTGTATTTATATGCTGAAACGATATAGGTCATTCAATAATTATTTTATTTATTCATATAAAATGAAAAAGATTGCATTTTAGAAAATTAATAAATATTCTTTTATATTATTTATATATAAAAATGATAAAGAGAGAAAGAGATAGTGACAAAGAGAATTATTAATAATATCAATCGTATCACATTTTTTAATAAATAATAACAATTTGAATTAATATTACTTAATCAATGAAAATCTACATTTTAATTTTATAAACAAATCCTTTAATTAATAAAACGAACGATATATTATAAAGATAGATAGAATCAATAGAATATACATATATATATATAATACATACGGGACTGAAGCTTTTAGTAAAATTGTCAAGAGGATAGCTCGATTAAGTTCAAACATCGCTGAGTAAACTACACGTCAGCGTCGAGTTTCTAGATCCAATGGATCATAAGTCGTATACGAGTATGCATTATTTCCATTACGGTTGACATGCATATGAATGGTACAATATTTTCTTGTTTTATTTTTCTTTTTTTTTCTAAAGAAATTTGAATTCACTCTATTTAACTTCTCCACTATAAGTTTTTAACAAGTTTCTATATTCGTTTGTTGCAAATTGTTTCTTAATGAAAACATTATATTCGATGTATGCATATACAAAGTTTATAAATTAATTTCGAATGTTTTTGAGTTATTCTAAGTTTGGTGAAAAAAGTTGTAAGAATAATTCAATTGAAAATAAAATTTTTCAAATGCTTATTAGAGGTTTTATAAATTTTTTTTTAATGTCATGCCAATTCACCTGTTCATTACTTTTTCGTTTTCTTTTGTACTATTATCATTATCATTATTATTATTATGGACAATTTCTGTAATGCATCAATATTCTTATTATTTTTTTGTTTTATTTCAGGTGTTGATTATATGCACCCGGACCTGAAATATAACTACGTAAGTAAACATACTCGTTACTTAATTTAATCCTTCAGCTATATTTTTTCAGTATTTTTCTCTCTTTATTTTTCTCTCTTTTATGTTCTACATTTTCGCTGGAAAAAAAAAATAATAAAATCAATTTTTTTCTTTTTCTGACTTTACACAGTATGTTTAAATATTAGTATTTAAAAGATATTATACAATGACTTTTATATTATTTTTTCAATAAAATTTTCACAGAAATTGTATTTTTTATTTTTTAATATCTTTGAAATTTTTTTTATATCCTAAAATGTTTGGATATATATATATATATATATATATATATATATATATATATATATAAATATATTGATTCATTGTACACATGTTGTGCAATAATTTATTTTATTCAAAAGAAACATACTTCTTTTCAAAATATTATTTTTCCAATAAAATACTCATGGTAATTGTATTTCTTTTATCTTGTTACTCTTGGAAATTCTTAATGTACACGGTAAAGAAAAATTCTTAAGGTATAGAAAAATTTCAACGATATAATTTGAGAAATATTTTTTTTTCTAAATTTCATTTGAAACGATGATATTCAATATTTTTCCGATGTCGATTAACGATAAAAAAATATTTATTAACGACATGCTGCAACAAAAGATTTTCGAACGAATCTTTTATGAGGGAAAAAATATTCGAAGGAAATTTCAAGGATATAACTTAATCTTTTTATAGACTTTTAGCATAAGTTAAAAAGAAACTTCAGCAAATTTTATAAAGTTTCACTCTCGTTGTCTATCGTTCGTTTAACATCTCGTTAGTTCTCCCAAAATATCTTCTCCTCTATTTCTTTGGGCTTCTATCGTCTCATCCCTCTCGTCCTTTGATGTTCAGCGATGATCTTTACATTAGCATAACACCGAAGACACGATGAAATTCAAATTTTCTCATAACCGTGACCTTTTCTTTTCGAATAAAAGACACCAATGTGTTACGACGGGTTCTATATTCGAACATAACTTTATTATTATCTTCAAAAATTGTTATTCAATTGATCAACCAACTAGAAAGTAAACAATGATTAAATTAGAAGGAAGAGAAAATTAGAACTTATTTCTTTTTTCTTTTCTTCTCTTTCTTCTTCTTTCTTTTTTTTTTTTTTTTTAAACTCAGAAAACTCTATTCTTTCCATTAAATCTTTTTTTAAAATTTTTTTTCAAGTAATATAAAATCATTAAATAACAGTATAATAAATATATATTTATATATTTTTATTTATTTATTTGTATCAAATAATGCAATAATTCTTTTATATATATATATATAACTATTAAAAGTTTAAATTTCGAATATTTCAAAACGTATATACAATTTCGAATATTAAAATTATTCGATAACAATATATTTTTATGCATATCTTATTATTAGTATTAAAATCAAAATAATAATTCTTTTTATTATTATTTAACAATGTTCTACGTTTATAAAAAAAAAAAAAAAGTGTTTACCTTCAAAAACTCGCATTTATTTCATTGCAATAAAAATAATTAATTTTAATGTTCAAACAATGAAATAATATTTATAAATTATCATATATATTATATATGTATACGTTAAACGTTTATGATTTATATAAAAGTGATTATACACTATATATGTATAATATATAATATCATTGGAGATAATGTATGAACAGTTGATTTGTGATAAAGAAGGTAGACATTTAAAGTCCACCTAAAATAAATCGAAAGACAAGAAAGAGGAGCTCGACTTAAACAAATGTTCATTAAGGGGCTTTACGCTTTCACAATGAATAATGTCTCCTAAGAGATAAACTCAGCTACGCGTACCTCGTACAAATTGATGGACTCGTTTTGAGACTTCATCTTTTATTCTTGCAAACGATAGTACCATACTAAGAAAAAAAAAAAAAAAAAAAAAAGTAAAATAAAAGAGAAAAGAAAAGGAAAGAAGTACTTTATATTTTATTTTCTTCTTTTTTTTTTTATTTTGTTTCTTGTTTAAATGATGTAATATATATTATACCGCAGAGACAACGTGGATTCGAATGTTTCAGAACGCTAAAGCTTCTTACGATTTTAGCAGTAACGATCCATTTCCATATCCAAGATATACGGACGATTGGTTTAACAGGTAAGTTTAATTATTTATAATTTTATTATTTCATTTTTTCTTTTTGTAACATTTTTTAGAATCTTAATTTTTATTAATTTTCCTTTTTTTTTCTTTTTCTACTTTTTTTTCTTTTTCTATTTTTCTATTTTTTTTTTCTTTTCTTTTTTTTTTATTTAGAGATTGTTATTTTGAAAGTCAATTTTGTAGGTACTTTAAATTTTATATGTTATTAATATTGTCTATATTATTTCTATAATTTCATATTATGCTTAAATTCGTTTAGATTATTTTTCCTATTAATAATTACTCTACATATTATAAATATTGTTTATATCATTCTTTATATATTATTATTATTATTATTATTATTATTATTATTATTATTGTTTTATGTTAATATTGTTTTATATATTTACAGGCAAAACTTATAACAGCAGTCAAATTTGTTAAGAAAATTCAAATACACACACATAATGTAATACACATACATATATTATAAATGAAAATTATTGTTTTGTTAAACTAATATAAATTTGTCTAAAGTATTTTAAAAATTATAGAACACATGTTTTTGCATTTACGTGCAATATGTATATACATATTTATCCATGTACATATATACATATCTTATTTTGTTATAAAAATTAGAAAAATATTCTTTTTTATAATTTTATATAAAATAAGATATATATGTGTATATATATATATATATATATATATATATATATATATATAAATATATATATATACAGGCAAAATCAATTCGAACAAACTCTTCGTTATAGCGTCATAACAACGTTAATTAAACGCTAATCATTGATTAAGCTCCCGTAATTAGTTCACGGTTCTGTTTAATTATTATTACCGGAAAGTAGATTGAAATGTTGGAAATTGTTTCGCGTTAATATTATTTTTTCTATCAAATAAGAAAATTGCTTCGTTTTCAACGAAAATATAGAATTGTTTACATGTATTAGAAAACTTACGAAACTTAGGAGGAATTTATGTAATCGTTCGAACGATCCTTAATATTATTCGCTCGATCAAAAACACAATTTTTGTATTTACGTAAAGAAATCCTTCGAGTTGAGATTTTAAATCAATTTATATATCTTTGGATTGCATTTGACAATTTGAAATTATCCGTAATGTGACAAGTTTATTAAGAAAAATTTGACATTTTTAATTCTCTTTCGTATTTTTCCTTTTTTTTTTCCCCCTAATAATAATCTCTCCTTTTCCTTTGATTATTAAAATTATTCGTTTTAATAATAGACGTGGAACATTTTTATAAATATATTTCATTATTAAAAAAAATAATATTATTATCCAAATAATAATATATTTTTCAATCGCACTTTATCGTTTCGTTTAAATTAAAAAAAAAAAAAAAAAATCATTTAAAAAGTAAAAATTTTTTACAAATATTTACATTCAAATTAAATTCATTTAATATTTTAAAAGCTGAAAATAATTAGTTCTTGAAACGTACATACATACATACATATATAAAAATAAAACTATCGATATTTTTAATTAATGATTCTTAATACAATAATTAATATTAACGCCAATACTATATTATCGATAGTTGAGAAAACACGTTAAACGAATTAATTCGATATCTAAGCAATAATTATCGATGCAAATGACTAATTAATTATTTGTAATTCATTTACCAAAGTCATGGCACCAGATGTGCTGGTGAAGTAGCAGCAGCTCGAGACAATGGGGTTTGTGGTGTCGGTGTGGCGTACGATTCGAAAATTGCTGGAATACGGATGCTGGATCAGCCTTATATGACTGATTTGATCGAAGCGAATAGTATGGGCCACGAACCTGATCTGATCGATATTTATAGTGCCTCATGGGGCCCAACAGATGATGGGAAGACTGTTGATGGGCCACGAAATGCGACCATGAGGGCCATCGTGCGTGGAGTTAACGAGGTACGATCGATATTCTCAGATTTCAATTATATAGGGTGTCTTATGTGATCTAATAAACATAATAACAAAGATTTTCATGTTAGCTTATGTACATCATTTGTTTTACATCAATTTCATCTTTTGAACGATCATTTCTTTTTTTTTCTTTTTTTTCTTTTTGTAATTTTCTTTCAATTATAATAAAAAAATAACATAGATATGATTCAATATAAAATATGACACCCTATAATATATCTCTTCATATTACAATTATACAGGGTGTCTAATGTGATTTAATAAATGATAACGAAGATTTTTTTTCTTTGATTTTTATATATGTACATAGAAATTTACGTCATTCGTTTTACTTCAATTTATCTTTCAAACGATATTTGTCTTTTCTGTTTGGTATTGTTCTTCAATATAATCAGAAAATAATGAAATTATTCAGGTTTCAACGTGACAGTCTGTGATTGATTTAAATATACGGGGTGTCTTATGATATATGAATTTGTGGTTTAAAATTTTTATATACGAAAACATTCGATATAAACATTAACTTTTGTCTGTTTTAAGATTCATTAGAATATTGCCATAAAATTATTGCAGTAATAGATACAAATAAATATTCAGATGATCCAAATATAAAAAAAAAAAGTTATATTATAATTTCATTTTGAAACATTTGTTCTTATAATTAAAATCTAACGAGTATATTAAAATGTAAATGGGATACTCTGTAATCGATCTCTTCACATTTAAATTGTACAGATTGCGTCAATATATATATATATATATATATATATATATATATATATATATATATATGTATATTAAAAAATATATATGTATGTATATAAAATACATGTATTCTTGACCTAAAAACAGAAACAAAGACATATATATATATATAATTATATATTTTTATATAAAATAATAAACATAAATAATTATCGATGATCCAGATACCCTCTTAATAAAATAAAATCATTATTTTTTGGTTATAATATCAAGGAAATAACGAAGATATTAAAATTTATATGAGACATCCTTTATCCAATCATTTTATATTTTAATCATATATGTTGAACCATAAAAAATAACGAGGATATATAAAAATAAATAAATATTGATGAGCCGGATATTCAAAAGAAATTATTTTTAATTATTCAAAGAGAAAAAGAAAAGAAAAGAAAAGAAAAGAAAAGAAAAGAAAGGGAAAGAAAAGAAAAGAAACAAGAAAGAGAAATAATAAAGATATAAAAATGCAAATGAGATAACGGTGTCCATGTCATTATTGAAAACAATATCTGGACTATACTAACAAAGAATTATGCATACATATACATGTAAATTTTTACACAAAATGATAAACATAAATAAATATCGATAATCCAGAAATTTAACATAAAAAAAAAAAAGAAAGAAGAAAGAAAAAAACATACGTCATTTTTGATATAATTAAAAAAAAACAAAAAAAATAATGAAGATATAAAAATTCATACGAGACACATTGAAAAACATCTCGTTATCTCTTTCTCTTTGAGATCAAAGTGATATTCTTACCTAGCAAGCTGTTGAAAAGAAGCCAACAATTTTTCTATTTTACGAGTAAGATATATACAGATATATGTAGTTCTATATTTCTTTAGAAATCAAGATTGTGGTTTTTCCTTTTGTGAATGAACATGCCTGAGTCATACGAGTCGTGTATCAGAAAAAAAAAGGAGAGGAAGAAATAAATAAATAAATAAATAAATAAGAAAGAAAGAAAGAAAAAAAGAAAGAAAGAAAGAAAGAAAGAAAGGAAGAAAGCAAATAAAAGAAAGAAAGATAAGAAGATATAAATTAATTAATTAATAAAGAAGGAAATAGGGAAGCAAAGAAGGAAGGAAATAAGTAAATAAATAAATATATAAAGAAGATATATATATATGTATATATATATATATATATATATATATATATATATATATATATATATATATATATATGTATATATATATATATATATATATATATATATATATATATGTATATATATTCGTGACAAGAGAAAGGCCAAATTGGCTCATGGGAATTTTCGACGGACAGGAAGTCCGATGGTTAATATCATGATACGGATAGGTCAACTGATTTCTCAGGAGAACAAATAAAGATTTTCGACGACAGGGCATTAAATATACTGACTCTGATCACTTAAAAATGACTGCAGTAGTACTTTAATATATTGGATAACGAATGGATACTATTTTCTTGTTTCTTTTTTATAAGAGAATCTTTTTTTTCTCTTTTCATTTATTTTTCATTCTTTCATTCCTCCTTTCATTCATTCTTTCATTCCTCCTTTCATTCATTCTTTCATTCATTCTTTCATTCTTTTTTTTTTTTCTTTTTTCAATCTTTCTTTCATTCTTTCTTTCTCCCTTTCCTTATTCGACCCTTTCTCCTTTATCTTGATTTTCCAAGCACAAATACAAACATTTTCTTTCCCAGGGTAGAAAAGGTTTAGGCAATATTTATGTCTGGGCTTCCGGTGATGGCGGCGAAGAGGACGATTGTAATTGCGATGGATACGCAGCGAGTATGTGGACCGTGAGCATAAACAGTGCCATTAACGATGGTCAAAATGCCCATTACGATGAAAGTTGTTCTAGCACGTTAGCTTCGACCTTTAGTAATGGCGCGAAAGATCCTAATACCGGTGTGGTGAGTATGAACACTTTAATTATTTTTTTCTTCTTTTTCTGTCCTCTTTTTTCTTTTTTTTTTAAATTTGTTTTTCATTATCGATTATAATATGTGTGCGTGTGTGTATATATATATATGTGTGTGTGTGTGTATATATATATATATCGAATAGATTCTTATATATATATATATATTCATTTAATAATATTTTATAACAATTTGCTTAATAATAATACAAAAAAGTACTTACATTGAAACGAAATTACATTAAATTTATATTGAAACAATAAAATTAGCAACTCGTAAGACTTATCGTTAAACGTTGATCTCTAATGGTCTATACTCTGCTACGACCTAACTACGACTAACGTAATAAACAAAACTAAACGAACAGAACATAGAAGGAATATAAACACAGCGCTAACATTATCAGACAAAAATCGATGATATAAATATTTACATAAGTCCTACTTTCAAATGAGTAATAATCTCTAATAAGATTAATTTAATCGATTTTTATTGTATTATTATCACCATTATTATTAAAATAAGATTAAATTCAATTTAAAGCAAATTTCCTATTAAATTATTATTATTATTATTATTATTATTAATATTATTAATATTATTAATATTATTAATATTATTAATATTATTAAAACAAGATTATATGAAATAATGATGAACGAACATCATTATTTTTGTTATTAAACATAAAATCTAAAGAAACGAGAGAGAAAGAGAGAGAGAGAGAGAGAAGATAGGAAAAAACTTTCATTCGTTGATTGCAATAACATTGATGTTTCGATTAATAAAAGATACTAATTAAGATAGATAAACGATCTTACAGCAAGTCTCTTGCGGTACGTTATGGTCATTTATCTTACTGTGATAAATCAATGTTCTGTAGCACGAAGTGCATTTATCAAATTTGTTTCGCGTGCGTACAACGAATTCATTTGTATCATCATGGCTAGAATAAAAGTCAATTTAATAATGATAATAACACGAAAGACAATAAATGTCAACGATGCGATTGATGACAATTAATTTTAAACGACAAACAATGCTAGTTACATATATATATATATGTAGTTAAAGATATTAAAAATCTATTCTTTTTCTTTTTTTCACAATTTTTTGCGTTATTAACAAATCAATATTCATACAGCAATTATTGTTTTGTTTATAATAATTTTATAAAAATTATAATAATAAAATTACGCTTACAATAATTCTTATGAAGATTAAAAAATTAAAATTCTATTAGTCTATAGAAATGAAAATTATAAAAGTACATTTGCACGTTCTTCCTACGTAAAATAAATTATACAAGTCCATGGAGAGAGGGGATAGGGAAATAAAGATAGAAATAAAAATAAAAATAGAAAAGAATTAAGAAGATAAAAAAATTTAAATATAAATATAACAAACATGATTTAAATAAACTGATCGATATTGAAAGATAAAAATATAAGAGACACACTGTATAAAGTTGAATTGAGTCAGATGAATAATTATAACGTTTGTAAGTCTTTGCCATCTTACTGAAAATAGATTACTTTTCAATGTTTGCCATAGTATCTATAAATAAATATTAATAAAAAGGAAAGAAGTAAAAGAAAAACAAAGACGTAGGTTGAACATTATATCGTTCACCCACACAAACACACACATAGTAATTCATAATCTACGATCGTATATTGAAATATCATTTATAAAGAGTATATAATTTTCTTTCTTCTTCGATATACATATGTCATTGTATTGTTGGTTAAAACGGAAACGATATTTTTAATGCGTTCGATCATTCCACTCTAAAAGCTTTACTTGGCAACAGCTTTCGATCTTTCCACCCACATAATTTTTTTTTTCATTCATCGAGGTAGGAATAAAGCTTCCCTATAAGCTTCAAGACATGAGTTTTACATTATGAATTTCAAAAATCAATCTTTCTGAACGTCACTTCTTTTGTTATTTCTAATCCATTGAATCGTTTCTGATCTTTCTCTACGTCAATTCATATCTTTTGACATTATCTTTCAAGTACTATATACTATGATAAATTTTTTTTTTCATTTTATATACTTAAATATATGTGCCATGTAAAAATTATATCAAGTTATAATTATTATAAGAAGATATTAAAAAATGTTCCTTAAAGTAACAATTCTTTTTCTTTCTGTCTAATTTGTTTATTGATTATTTTATCTTTTTTTTCTTCTGTTTATAATAAATTAAGTACACGTGCAACAATTCCGTGAAAAATAAAATAAATTAAAAAAAAAAAAAAAAGAAAAAAATAAAATATAATTATGAAAATAAAATTATAAGATTAAACAAAAAAAAAAAAAAAAGAAATAAAAGGCATAAACGTGATTTAAACGAACTCACGTGCGATATAAAATATAATTGATATAAATCTGATCTAAAATAAATGACATAGAAATGATTTAAAAACAAATCCTCGATTAAATAAATAAAAAAATAAATGTGTATTTGATCAAAATAATTTTCTAATGTCGATATGAAGTGTTTAAATTAAAATTATGATTTGTTTTTTAAGGCTACGACCGATCTTTATGGGAAATGTACGACGACTCATAGTGGAACATCCGCTGCGGCGCCGGAAGCTGCTGGGGTGTTTGCTTTGGCCCTCGAAGCCAAGTGAGTTTACCAAAGTTCTTTTAATAATTTCCCTTTTAAGTAGAAAGAACGTTAATTATGCGGCTAACGTTTCACCTTGAAAAAAATTAACATAAAAACTTACATTCCAATTATAATCATAATTCGTTTTAATCGTTCCTTCAAAAAAGATATTAAAATATATATGTATATAGTTATATGGGATGACTCATATCAATTTTGACAAATTATTTGCCTAAAAAGAAAAAGTAATTGTTTATTTATTATAAGAAATATTTAATTATTTTAGTCTCGTAAGAAGAAAAAAAAAAAAGAAAAAAAGAAAGAAAGAATTATGAAAATTTTTCAATGAAATATTGCGGTTTATATAAATTCTTAAAAACTTTTCATGTTAAAAGTTCATTCGTTGTAATCTCGACAAGTCTAATAAAAATGTATTAACTATATGAAAAATTCTAAAAGTAGAATATTTTTTTACTAATCCGCTTTTATATCTTAATGATATAAACGATTTATTGTTATCATTGTTAGCATGCTCATGATAATGAAACTAATACGCCGACGTGAATAAGCTGCATTGCGACGATCATTTCGGGCACGCAAGTAATATAATTTCTCTTTTTTTTTTTTTTTTTCTTTTCCGGTGAATTCAAGCGAACTCAACAATTATAAATTCAATTAGCGATGATTACTATGGTAGTTAAGAGAATTCTTTTTTTATTCACTGAATAAGTTCAAATCAAAGTATATATATATATAAAGGTTAGTGTAATGAAATTATTTGGCCATTTTGAAGAAAAAAATTAAAAATTTCCGAATAAATAATAATTTAAACAATTTTACATATAACATACTATATTTCATATTTTGTTCAATTAAATTTTTTATATAAAATTACTGAAGTTGTTTAAAAAGAAAATAATTAAAATCTCGTTAATAACGTTTCTTTCGTAAAGTTTACTTTCACTCGCACGTAAGAAAGAATCCATTATTTATTTAAAATATTTCTCAAGGTAATATTTTCAAAAGTAGCCAATCATATCAGTTCACAGTTGACTTGGAGGGACATTCAACATTTGACGGTATTGACCTCAAAAAGGAATTCGTTGTTCGATGCTAAAGGAAGATTTCATTGGACTATGAACGGCGTTGGACTGGAATTTAATCATCTCTTTGGTTATGGTGTTCTTGATGCAGGCGCTATGGTGGCCTTGGCTAAAAAATGGAAAACCGTACCTCCTAGATATCACTGTGAAGCTGGTTCTGTCATCGAGCCACAGTTAGTACTATCTAATGTATACTAATGGATTAAAAATATATTTGATAGTAGACGTAATAAAATTAGATTTTTTTTTTTATCGGTAATTTTATTAAATACAACGAGTTATACGAATATTCGAAATAATTGAATAATTAATAGAATCATAAGAAAGATTTGAAGTAATTTTGTTATATAGAAATAAAAATAAATATTTATTAGCATTTATTTTTTAACAATCATAAAAAATTATTAAATAGTATTAATAAAATGACTTCAAATCTTTCCGATGGTTCTATTAATTTTTTTTTTTATATTATATATTATAAAATTTTGTATATTTTAACAAAAATTATTGTTTGGAATAACAATTCGTATTTTTTTTGTTTTGTTTTTTTTTTATTCAATATTATTTAAAAATTATATCATATTTTTAAAAAGAGATAATTGTTTATATGTTAAAGTATTTGTAAAAATAAGATTTTCTACGTATTATTACGCCTTCGTATTCTCTCTTTCATTTATTGAGTAACGCACGAATCGAATTAAAGCACCGTAATAATGTTATTATTTACGGACCGTCGAGTATCGATTTAAAGGAGCCTGCTATCTCCCGGCAGAATTTTAGCCTTTATTCTAGCTTTCGCAAATCCAATGGTTTCGAAGGAATTAGATGGAATTATTTTGGTGTGTTAAAAATTTCCTATGATTATTATTTCACCGTATTTCTTTTTAATATCTTAAAAATAGAAAAAAAGTTTTAAAAATATTGAAATTATAAAAAAAGTATTTCTGTTAAAAGAAAAAAATAGAAGGAAAAAAGAAAAGATTATATAAAATGAATTAATAGGTCATGTTTTTGTTGACGTTGTGATGTATAAATAAACTAATTAATTAAACATATAATATTAGAATTAAAAAGAGAATTTTAAAAAGATCTTAAAATTCTCTCTCTCTCTTTCTCTTTC